CGGGTCCATTTCCCACAAGTTAAAACCGGAAAAAATCGCAAAAAAAAAAACATTTCTTATTTTTTCATGATTGTGATTTTGAGGTTAAATGTCATTTGCAAAAAGCCGATTTAGCCTCTGCACATTCTCCACATGACAGAATTAACTATAAGGCCCGTTTCAGACGTCGAACTTTACATGAGCCGAACCTAAATACATCAAACGTTTGAAACGGATCTAAGTCTTTCGCGGTCTCACTGATAAAAAATATCTGAATTAATTTCTATCTCACTTTTAATGTCACGCAATGGTTAAGAGCTCCACGCATAGAAAATAAAACCATTTGTATATACTTTCGAAAACACATGGAAGAAATTCTTTCTTTTTTTGTCACAATGCTAATCRAAAAACCGTTCAACCAATCAGAACCGTTGTTGTTATATTTTTCCGTTATCTTGCGGTTAGAGACTCATTTTTGGTTGTTCAAAACACAATAGAACATTCCATGAATATTTCCCACGAGTTTTCGATTCGCACTGTAATAGCTGTATTCTTAAAAAGATTCAAGCGGCAAATATATAAGATTTTATCAATAACTTTTAATAATCTATGATAATTTTCCCTAGCCCGAGTATGGGTTGATCTTCATCAGTAGTACTCCTCCAAGAACACTGTTCAAAACTGTCGTGATGTCATAGTTATAAATAATCGGTATCGAAAGACACTGCTCCAGTTTTCAACAAGTATATATAAATTATTTGACTCGAACATCGTGTACTATTACATTATTTTTAGGACGAAAGCTGAAGCAAATGGTGGTTCCAAAGGTACGACTGCGAACAATGAGGCATCGATGCTCAAGAAGTTTAATGTGGGGATTAATTTTCTTTATTATTGTTGGCCGATTCGTAGGCTTGTTCCTGTACACCGTGTGGTTATGTGACTGCTTCTTCAGAGAGTTTAAAATGGGAGTGCAATGCAAAAAATTTTCTCTTTACCCGAATCCGAAAATAACTTCTGCAATTTGGCTGACGATCGTCAGCTTTACATCCTTCCTTCTGATCTTCTACGTCAGTCGATTWYCTGATTTTCCAGGCTTCAAATCAATCATCAGTCATCTTTTTCGTAAAAAGTACTTCTACAAGCTGTGTGTCATTACCATACTGGTAGTTATCTACGACYTGATAACTATTGTTGGCGGAGAAATTCAAGTGAAAAGAACAATTGTATATTCTACGTATATGCTCGAACATATCACGTCCGTTGCACTCATGTTYAYATTAAACTTYGTTCCAAAGTTCGTCAAGAATGATGTACCCCTTTGTAGACTGAAAGTTGTTGTTTATAAAATGACTTTGCTACTCTACTCGATCGAGAATTATGTCGCATACGCTCTAGGAACTATTGTAGCTGCTTACAAATTGGTTTCAGTTCCAAATTGTAGTTCCAAACAAGTTCCAGACAAGTACAACACATCACGATTGTTAACACGTTCTGAAGGAAACACCGTCTGTCACGATGCCACATCTGTTACCATGTTATTGCTTCTTTTGACTGCCCTTTCTCTCCGTCACACACTTGGAGAGTTCTTTCTGACCAAGATCTTCCAAGAGAATGCCGATGTTCTCGACACTCCTTTGCAACCAAACACTCTACAAGACGCGATGGCCACAGAAAATACTCCCTTGTTGGCTCAACAGCATTGAACTATGCTAGTTAGGATGACTACGATAAACACCTTAATTTATCATCTTAAATAAGAAATTAATTAAGAAGAGTCTGGACTATCACATTCTCTTAAGTACGACAGAATATGCCATATTTCATTCCTAACATGTCTCGTTCTGGTGTTCGTCTCATTCTCCCTCTGAGTGGCAGCCATTTTTATGACATCGGTCTATAGGATAAAGACCAAACATGTATAACATAAATATTTGATAATGGATCGAATCATTTTCATAGCTAAGAGCTTCGTGTTTTTCCCTTCAAGATATATAGGTACTAATGTAAATGTCTATTGATGYTTTTCTATGGATAAAGACTTATTGTATGGGTTTTAAGACGTAAAGAAAATACGAGACCGACGTTTCATTTTAAAAGGAGGAGAGCCTGCAGCCGAACGTGTTTCCATAACGGGTGAGCTTTATGCTTAGTACTATGAGTGTACATAGGATTGCAATCTGCTTTATATTCGAAGAGTTATTTTTTCCTTTCTTGATTGGCTAGGAATCTGAGTACAACTGATGACGCTATAGTTGCATATGAGAAAACATTATACTTTGGAACAGCAGATTCGAGAAACAAAAAACGCCATTCTTTTTTTATTTACAAAGCAGCGCTTAATTAAATAAAGATTGTTTGGGTGATTTTTTTGCTGCATAGGCATTTTGCATTAATAGCACACAAAAAATCCGTGCTTCAAAATAAAAATCAAACATTTAATGAATGATTGTTTTTTGTTTTTGACATCAAGCATATAAGATCCATGGAAAATGAATTCTATTACTTTCGTGAACCAGGAAAAAATGTTAGGATACTATTAAAACCTGTTAAACAATTCATATTTAAATGCTTCTTTATCTTGACAACACTTAAAACTGTTGAATAGAAAAATAAGTGTTTTTTTTTTCCTTCCTTTACTTAATATGTTTTTTTTTTCCTTCCTTTACTTAATATGTTTTTAATTTATTTTCCTCCTCTCATATTTTCATAATATTATTTATTTATTAAGTTAGGCAATTAGTTATGTAAATATTATAAACATCTTAAGTTACTAAATTATTATTTATAATCTTGGCCCGCCTAGACTAGCAATGCTAAACGCGGACCAAGATCTGTTTTCGTTCATGTAAAATCTAATAGTTTTAATAAAGTTGAAATTGAAATTGTGTTGAAAGTCATAGTTATAAATAAACCATACGACACACCTCATGATCATTGACTGACCAATTTTGATTCGCATTTGTTTTAATAAATTTAAATAAATTATTTGACTCCAGCTTATCATACATTCATTTGCTTGCAATATCACATTTGAACAGGACGAGAACACTGCGGCAATGAAGGTTCCAAGGGTACTACTACAGACAAAGAGGCAGCGATGTTCAAGACGTTTAGCCTGGGGAGTAATCTTCTGCATTATTGTGGGCTTACTTTTGCACACTTTGTGGATATGTGACTGTTTCTTCAGAGAGTCTAAGTTAGGAATAACAATGCTATTCGCAATACACTGATTACACATCGTTTCATTCAAGCACTTCAATAGTAGTTAAAAAGAATCGCCAATTTAGAATAAGAAAAAAACTTTTGCTCTCCAGTACAGGCACGTGACCTTTAACTGCAAAGGGCCTATTCTGATAAACTAGTAGAATACAAATAATACAAATATGAAAGGCAATTTATGACTAAATAGAAATTAAATACAAGTGTCCAAAAATACATATTGTTATATATTATTATTATATTAGAGTGCACGCACTAAAACCGTGAACATTAAATAGTACTAATTAGTACTATTTCATACAGAATCCTTTGTTTTCTATTGTTT